GTTTACACCGACACATCCAGTATGTTTACACCAACACTGTCACCCCCCAGTATGTTTACACCGACACTGTCACCCACAGTATGTTTACACCGACACTGTCATCCCCCAGTATGTTTACACCAACACTGTCACCCACAGTATGTTTACACAGACACTGTCACATCCAGTATGTTTACACCGACACTGTCACATCCAGTATGTTTACACCGACACTGTCACCCCCAGTATGTTTACACCGACACTGTCACCCCCCAGTATGTTTACACCGACACTGTCACCCCCCAGTATGTTTACACCGACACTGTCACATCCAGTATGTTTACACCGACACTGTCACATCCAGTTTGTTTACACCGACACTGTCACCCCCAGTATGTTTACACTGACACTGTCACCCCCAGTATGTTTACCTCGACACTGTCACCCCCCAGTTTGTTTACACCGACACTGTCACATCCAGTATGTTTACACCGACACTGTCACCCCCAGTAGGTTTACACCGACACATCCAGTATGTTTACACCGACACTGACACATCCAGTATGTTTACACCGACACTGTCACCCCAGTATGTTTACACCGACACTGTCACATCCAGTATGTTTACACCGACACTGTCACATCCAGTATGTTTACACCGACACTGTCACATCCAGTATGTTTACACAGACACTGTCACATCCAGTATGTTTACACCGACACTGTCACATCCAGTATGTTTACACCGACACTGTCACCCCAGTAGGTTTACACCGACACTGTCACCCCCAGTAGGTTTACACCGACACATCCAGTATGTTTACACCGACAGTCACCCCAGTATGTTTACACCGACACTGTCACATCCAGTATGTTTACACCGACACTGTCACATCCAGTATGTTTACACGGACACTGTCACATCCAGTATGTTTACACCGCCACTGTCACCCCCAGTATGTTTACACTGACACTGTCACCCCCAGTATGTTTACACCGACACTGTCACATCCAGTAAGTTTACACCGACACTGTCACATCCAGTATGTTTACACCGACACTGACACATCCAGTATGTTTACATCGACACTGTCACCCCCAGTAGGTTTACACCGACACTGTCACATCCAGTATGTTTACACCGACACTGTCACATCCAGTATGTTTACACCGACACTGTCACATCCAGTAGTTTTACACCGACAATACACCGACACTGTTACCCCCAGTATGTTTACACCGGCACTGTCACCCCCAGTATGTTGACACTGACACTGTCACCCCCAGTATGTTTAGACCAACACTGTCACATCCAGTATGTTTATACCAACACTGTCACCCCCAGTATGTTTACACCGACACATCCAGTATGTTTACACCGACACTGTCACATCCAGTATGTTTACACCGACACTGTCACATCCAGTATGTTTACACCGACACTGTCACCCCCAGTATGTTTACACTGACACTGTCACCCCCAGTATGTTTACACCAACACTGTCACATCCAGTATGTTTATACCAACACTGTCACCCCCAGTATGTTTACACCGACACATCCAGTATGTTTACACCGACAGTCACCCCAGTATGTTTACACCGACACTGTCACATCCAGTATGTTTACACCGACACTGTCACATCCAGTATGTTTACACCGACACTGTCACATCCAGTATGTTTACACCGACACTGTCACCCCCGGTATGTTTACACTGACAACTGTCACCCCCAGTATGTTTACACCGACACTGTCACCCCCAGTATGTTTACACTGACACTGTCACATCCAGTATGTTTACATCGACACTGTTACCCCCAGTATGTTTACACCAACACTGTCACCCCCAGTATGTTTACACCGACACTGTCACATCCAGCATGTCCATACCAACATATTAACCACAAGATGACTACATGACGCTGTCACACCCATGAAGTCTGTATCAACACAAAAATCCCCAGGATGTCTGTATCGACACTGTGACCCCTCGAGGACCGCATAACACTGATGAAGTTACTGCCTGACCCGCATAGAACTAAAGTCTAGCCAATGTAGGACCTTCCTTTGAGAATAATCATTCAACGTGAAACACACACCATTGGGAATAAACGGATATTTAAGTGTATTTGATAATAGTGATCTGGCTTGACTACATGTGTGTTTAGTGCAGTCCTGTGCCCCAGATCACCTCCATAACCCAGACATTGTGTGCTTGCCAGTCATACATTTTGCTTCATGCTGTACAAAATATGGCCTCTCTCACACAATGATCTCCAGTTTTCTTAAATATTTTGGCATTGTTGAAGAATATGACAAACAGGACAACAGGTCATAAGACAAGTAGTAGCAAGCAATCACGTGATGAAACAATGGCAGCGTAATCAAAACATCGTCAGCTCATTTTCATTCGTTGCTTAACAAGCTCAATTCAGGTTATTTGGTAAATAACAAGTGTGAAAAGTAAAAGAACAACACCAAAGATTCAGGGTGTCACATTTTATCATCAACACAGAATCCTGAGCTTGCATTAATTTCGTGACGCATTTTAGACTAGACCCTTGCACTCGCATTAAATTCGCGATGCATTAATTTCATGATTTACAGTATATAAGAGAGTGTGAGAGAGAATGTGAGAGTGTGTGAGAGAGCATGAGAGAGAGTGTGAGAGCATATGAGTGAATGAGAGCATGTGAGAGAGTGAGAGCATGTGAGTGAATAAGAGCACGTGAGAGAGTGTGAGAGTATGTGAGTGAATAAGAGCATGTGTGAGAATGTGAGTGCATGTGTGAGAGCATGTGAGAGAGTGAGAGCATGTGAGAGAGTGAGAGCATGTTAGAGAGTGAGAATGAGAGCATGTGAGTGAATAAGAGCATGTGAGAGAGAGTGAGAGCATGTGAGACAGAGAGAGTGAGAGCATGTGAGAGAGTGAGAATGAGAGCATGTGAGTGGATAAGAGCATGTGAGAGAGTGAGAGAATGTGAGTGAACGAGCAGTGTGAGACACGTGAGAGAGAGTGAGAGCAAGTGAGAGAGTGAGACACGTGAGAGAGAGTGTGACACTGAGAGAGAGTGGGACACAGAGGAGGCAACGAGACAAACGGACAAGGAATGAGACCACAGCACGTGAGCACGCAATGCAATGCAATGTGAGCAGACACGGAGAGCACGTGAGCACGTGAGCACGTGAGTGAGCACGACACCGAGCAATGACACATGGACACAGAATGAGAACGAGCACAGGACAGCAAGCACGAGCACACACAAGTGGACAGCACGAGGCACGAGAACGTGGAGACACCTGAGACACGGAGAGCACGGAGGCACAAGGAACGAGACAAAGAGACAGCATGACAAGTGAGGCATGGAGACGGAGACGCACACGAGAGCACAAGACAAGGAGGACAGCACGTGAGTGAGTGGAGAGCATGAGTGAGGAGACACGCAGAGACAGAGAGCGTGAGAGAGCATGGAGACATGAGCATGAGTGAGAGCACAGGAACGAGGCATGTGAGAGCACAAAAATGGAGAATGGAATGAGAGCATGGAGAGAGCACAGGCATGTGAGGAGACACCAGGAGAGTGGAGCATGAGAACATGGAGGACACCGGAGTGTGGAGTATGTGGAGGGGAGCATGGAGAGCATGGAGAGGTATGGAGAGCATGGAGAGGCATGGAGAATGGAGGAGAGACATGAAGAAAATGAAATGGACAGAATGGAATGAAATGAATGACATAGTGAGGGACAGAAGCACGGAATAACACAGGACACAGAAGGAAGACAGTGGAGCCATTGAACAAATGGAGGAAACATCACAGGAGTGGAATGGATGGAGCAACACGAGACAGATGCCCACATGCCGAGACTCCCGGAAAAGGAAGACAAGGTGGACAACATAGGGTAGAATGGAAGAAGCCTAGGACACGAAGGAAATGGACAATGATAGAAGGACATGGCACGAACACGGGACACTGATGCACAATATACACGAATGACACAGCACCCGGAATGGACAACTTAACACAGGGACCACACTAACAAGAATTAATGTTCTAATTGAATTTGGGGAAGGCACCGAATAACCACGACAATTTGTCGCTATTAGATCTACATTCGGTTTTCGATCTAATAAAGCGTATGCACAGCTCACAAGCCAGTGACACTTATCGTCATTAATTTTGTTCCTGTTATTTCTGAAATATATATTTTTTAAATTTAACATTACAACTTACTATCAATTTTTTAAGCTATGAAAAGTTCGCTCACTTTAGTCGGTGGGAAAGGTTGCATCAAACTTATAACACGAAAATGGGGAATCAAATACTTTCTGGTCGACCTGACTGTGGGCTACTAGTTACTGTCATAGTCTAAGTATGTTATTTAAAATAAATGATTAATCAGAAATGACCGAAGCATACTTGGTAAATTACCGTAACACTGACTAAACTAAATGTTGATCATCCGCATGTTTGTTGTGGTTTTGCTTGTCTAACATTCCCACGTTATTTTCAGTAAAAGGCTAGGTCTATATTATCAAAGTAAAGTGTTTACATTGTGTATTCTTCAATTTTCCCCAAACGAATCAATTTATATTTTTCGGATGCATATATTTCTCTTCTCAACGAGAGCCAGAAATAAACATGTTTCCCGCGCTTATAAGCGGGTGTTAGCGATGACTGGTCCTCGGCAATGTTTATTCGGTTTCGATCACCATGTTTTTCCATGATACTGTATTAATTAATCAAATTTAGCCGTCTTTGTTCAGGTAATGTAGACCAAATAAATTTCTTATGGTTTACTTAATTCACCAAACATTTTGCCAATGAGAAAAAAAAATATAGTGATCGAAAACTGAACGAATCTGGTTACAATGCTCGCAACAAAATCATACTGCAGCAGTAACTGTTCAGCGCAAGACGTGAATCATGTAGCTAGTTACAATAGCTATTTAATATTATATCAATTCAAGTTTGTATTCCAGGTTAGAATGTATAGAAGTGCTGTCGAGTAATCCATGTTTGTTGTAAAGGGACAGAGTTATTTCCAATCCAACTTTATTCACGTTGGTGTTAAATCTACACACGTTGACATCCCAAAACTTTAGGCGATAATTATTACACAATATATTTCAGCATCGGACTAACTAGATTTATATATGCTTGGGGAATTGTAACTTGTTATAATGTGGAACATTGTTATTTTTATTGCAGCAAGAGCGAAAATGAGACACAAGAATTCCGGCAGATACAAACAGAAGTGATGGATTTATTGAGGATCACATCAAATAATCCAGGAGCTGTGAATCAGTAAACGTAAGTGCATCTGTTAAATATCATTGTCTATATACTTGTTGGTGTCGTTTTGGCTTTTTATTGCAAAAATTGGATTTGTACCTGCACCCAGCCTCCGACCAACAAGAGTGGTGGGGTAGTGGTTGCTATTCAGTGTGATTTGATACTATTACCAAATTAGGCATTCAAGGATTTCCCTTAATTTCCATTGTGTGCTGGTGTCCATCAAACACTTGCATATACATAGGTGCTGGAAGACTTCATTAACTGATTAATGTCTCTTGATTTGACTTCATACACTCACTATACATTTGTTTTCTTTATTTCAGAAAAATGGATAAAGTCGAAACCAAAGAAGAAGATTCTGAAATAATCTCGAAACATGTACGCGTTTTCTGAAAGAAATTAATAAAGAGTATTGATTAAATGTCTGCCATTCTTTTTTTTATGTTCCTTGTTAAGAGTAACAATGTCTATTTTCCATGGACATGTAACCTTATTGTTAACGGTTAGTGTTTTACTGAAAAGTTAAAACCATATCTTGACAGAAAATGTTATTACAACGTTTCCTGAACCTTAAACATTCACATGGATGAAACGTTTTCAGAAGCCTTTTTGGTGGTGACTGAATTTTATAACCAAACGTCCATAGAACACACTGTTTCTGGAACCATACAAATTCATATGAATAAATTATTTTAAAAACATGATATGTTTAGGGGATGTTTCTTCACATTTATATATATGTTTTGATACACATATAAAATAGTATTCATTTATAAATTGTGGTACATGCTATGAAATATGTATTCACCGTGGAGAATTGAAGTGAGCAACTAAACTAACCGGCAAAAGGAAACGATACCAAGTCGAAATCACTGATATTACAAAACGACAGACCACCATTGTGTAAAAGGAAAGTGAATTTTAATAACAGGTGTATGGGCATGTGTATGCACATCCATGTTACCCATACACAGCTGTTATCAAAATTCACTTTCCTTTTACACAATGGTGGTTTGTCATTTTGTAATATCAGTGATTTCGACTTGGTATCGTTTCTTTTGCCCGTTAGTTTAATATTGCAGTGCCTATAAAGTGACGACATTGGGCCGAAGCAGTGCCAATAAAGTATGCCGCCGCTGAGCCGACGTAGGGCCGACGCTGAGCCGATGCAGGGCCATTGAAGTTTGCCAACGTTGGCCCGATGTCTATACGATGAGCAAAACTTCATCGGCCCGATGAAGTTTGCCGACGTCGGGCCGATAATGCAAACGACGTCGGGCCGATGTCGGGCCGATGATGGCATGCTACCTGGGATAGTACACCCAATGTCCCCCACCCCACCTACCACCTTCATAGTACACCCAATGTCCCCCACCCCACCGACCACCTTCATAGTACACCCAATGTCTCCCACCCCACCTGCCACCTTCATAGTACACCCAATGTCTCCCACCCCACCTGCCACCTTCATAGTACACCCAATGTCCCCACCCCACCTGCCACCTTCATAGTACACCCAATGTCCCCCACCCTCATATGCTGCACCTGTCACCTTCATAGTACACCCAATGTCCCCCACCTCACCTACCACCTTCATAGTACACCCAATGTCCCCCACCTCACCTGTCACCTTCATAGTACACCCAATGTCCCCACCCACCTGCCACCTTCATAGTACACCCAATGTCCCCCACCCTCCTGCCACCTTCATAGTACACCCAATGTCCCCCACCCTCATATGCTGCACCTGCCACCTTCACAGTACAACCAATGTCCCCCACCCCACCTGCCACCTTCATAGTACACCCAATGTCCCCCTACCCCACCTGTCACCTTCATAGTACGCCCAATGTCCCCCACCCCACCTGCCACCTTCATAGTACACCCAATGTGCCCCACCCCACCTGCCACCTTCATAGTACAACCAATGTCCCCACCCTCCTGCCACCTTTCATAGTACACCCAATGTCCCCCTACCCCACCTGTCACCTTCATAGTACACCCAATGTCCCCCTACCCCACCTGTCACCTTCATAGTACAACCAATGTCCCCCACCCACCTGCCACCTTCATAGTACACCCAATGTCCCCCTACCCCTTGCCCCTACCATGCTGCACCTCCAGTTTTAACTTCCCTTATTCTTTACCAGACATATCTTTTCAGGAAAAGTTATTCATAGCAAAGCTTATTATACATAAGGTCCTACAATACACAGTCAAATTGAGATACAGTAGTACTTATAAGCAGCATATTTGTGGGAAGCAGTTCACCACGGATGCAAAGTAAGCATGCAATGAAGGCCTGAAATATTGTGTACTGTGATGAGGATTGAGAAGGTTTGTTTAGCAGCCGCCATGTCTGTGACATGGATGAGGCTACATACATCCATCTGCAACACAATACATGAAGATGAGCTCGGTGCCTTCATCCTGTATGCGCTTGGGATTAAACCAATATGGAACCTGAGATGGAACACACACAGACAAAAAGTCAAGTCTGCAGTTGGAGTTGCTAGATGTATGTCAAACATTACAATCACCTGGTTTACTCAGCTTTTGGGACTCTATCTATTATGCCAGTCCATCTCAACTAAGTGAGTGTGGCAGTCCATCTCAACTAAGTGAGTGAATTATGCTAGTCCACCTCAACTAAGTGAGTTATGCCAGTCCATCTCAACTAAGTGAGTGACTTATGCCAGTCCATCTCAACTAAGTGAGTGAATTATGCCAGTCCACCTCAACTAAATGAGTTAAGCCAGTCCACCTCAACTAAGTGAGTTATGCCAGTCCACCTCAACTAAGTGAGTGAATTATGCCAGTCCATCTCAACTAAGTGAGTTATGCCAGTCCACCTCAACTAAGTGAGTTATGCCAGTCCATCTCAACTAAGTGAGTGAATTATGCCAGTCCATCTCAACTAAGTGAGTGAATTATGCCAGTCCACCTCAACTAAGTGAGTGAATTATGCCAGTCCACCTCAACTAAGTGAGTTATGCCAGTCCACCTCAACTAAGTGAGTGAATTATGCCAGTCCACCTCAACTAAGTGAGCAAGTTATGCCAGTCCATCTCAACTAAGTGAGTTATGCCAGTCCAACTCAACTAAGTGAGTGAATTATGCCAGTCCACCTCAACTAAGTGAGTGAATTATGCCAGTCCACCTCAACTAAGTGAGTTATGCCAGTCCACCTCAACTAAGTGAAATATGCCAGTCCACCTCAACTAAGAGAGTGAATTATGCCAGTCCACCTCAACTAAGTGAGTGAATTATGCCAGTCCACCTCAACTAAGTGAGTTATGCCAGTCCACCTCAACTAAGTGAAATATGCCAGTCCATCTCAACTAAGTGAGCAAGTTATGCCAGTCCATCTCAACTAAGTGAGTGAATTATGCCAGTCCATCTCAACTAAGTGAGTTATGCCAGTCCACCTCAACTAAGTGAGTGAATCATGCCAGTCCACCTCAACTAAGAGAGTGAATTATGCCAGTCCACCTCAACTAATTGAGTGAATTATGCCAGTCCACCTCAACTAAGTGAGTGAATTATGCCAGTCCATCTCAACTAAGTGAGTGAATTATGCCAGTCCATCTCAACTAAGTGAGTGAATTATGCCAGTCCATCTCAACTAAGTGAGTTATGCCAGTCCACCTCAACTAAGTGAGTTATGCCAGTCCACCTCAACTAAGAGAGTTATGCCAGTCCATCTCAACTAAGTGAATGAATTATGCCAGTCCATCTCAACTAAGTGAGTGAATTATGCCAGTCCACCTCAACTAAGAGAGTGAATTATGCCAGTCCACCTCAACTAATTGAGTGAATTATGCCAGTCCACCTCAACTAAGTGAGTGAATTATGCCAATCCACCTCAACTAAGTGAGTGAATTATGCCAGTCCATCTCAACTAAGTGAGTGAATTATGCCAGTCCATCTCAACTAAGTGAGTTATGCCAGTCCATCTCAACTAAGTGAGTGAATTATGCCAGTCCACCTCAACTAATTGAGTGAATTATGCCAGTCCATCTCAACTAAGTGAGTTATGCCAGTCCACCTCAACTAAGTGAATTATGCCAGTCCACCTCAACTAAGTGAGTTATGCCAGTCCACCTCAACTAAGTGAGTGAATTATGCCAGTCCATCTCAACTAAGTGAGTTATGCCAGTCCATCTCAACTAAGTGAGTTATGCCAGTCCATCTCAACTAAGTGAGTGAATTATGCCAGTCCATCTCAACTAAGTGAGTGAAATATGCCAGTCCACCTCAACTAAGTGAGTTATGACAGCCCACCTCAACTAAGTGAGTGAATTATGCCAGTCCACCTAAACTAAGTGAGTGAATTATGCCAGTCCATCTCAACTAAGTGAGTGAATTATGCTAGTCCACCTCAACTAAGTGAGTTACGCCAGTCCATCTCAACTAAGTGAGTTATGCCAGTCCACCTCAACTAAGTGAGTGAATCATGCCAGTCCATCTCAACTAAGTGAATTATGCCAGTCCACCTCAACTAAGTGAGTTATGCCAGTCCATCTCAACTAAGTGAGTGAATTATGCCAGTCCATTTCAACTAAGTGAATTATGCCAGTCCATCTCAACTAAGTGAGTTATGCCAGTCCATCTCAACTAAGTGAGTTATGCCAGTCCATCTCAACTTAGTTATGCTAACCCATTATAAGTCCAGCTGCCAGGATAAGGTGGGATGTTTACAAGTAATCATAAGTCCAACTGCCAATATATGGTGCAACATTTTTACACGTAATTACAAGTCCAACTGCCAGTATATGGTGCAACATTTTTAAACGTACTTAAACGTCCAACTGCCAGGATAGGGTGTAGTGTTTTCACGTATTTTCTTTTATTTGGTCCTTTGGGCTTTTAAACAGCTACAAACATTTGATTATATATCTTAAAATATTGCATCAAAATTGATCTAAAAGATCTATACAGAAAACATGTACACGTTTGATACAGTTCAGACTGGGTATTTGTTTGCACTGACTGCTATGTGTAATTAAAATAGACATGATTGGCCTGAACCAAATTTATTCAAACATTTTTCAAAGCGGAACTAAACGTATGTCAGTTGGAATGATGACCCCAAGTGAAATCAATACACTTCTTGTTGCCAGTACATCCAGGCTACGTAATGACAACTAGCTTCAATTATTTCTTCAATGTTCAAACAACAAACTTTAACACTTCTGTAATTATTTTACTTGGAAAAATATTTTGAGTAACAAGAAGAAAACGACTATAACAGGACAGAATTTGCTCACAAGCAGAGACCACATATCGGTATATATATGGTCTCTGTCACAACAAAAGATGAAAATGTTTATTAACTTGACAAAGTGACTTCCAGTCCATGACATACCTATACACTGAGCCGATGATGACTGAGTCTGTAGCTCCAGTGTTGGATTCTAACACTAACACATACAACACACACAAGGAGGTTATAAAACTGAAAACCGGCCTACCTGCCGAAGATGTTGAATGAGTCAGGAAAGTGAAAGCTGGCTGGTCGGTGATCCAGTGAGTTGCTGCTCTTGACATACTGAGGTCTGCTTGCTTCCAGGGTCTCCACCGAGCTCCGCCGCCTCCGAGCTAGAAGAGAGGGCAGAGAACACTCATCACAAGCCATGTGGTTGGCAGAGTAGTAGGCAAGGGACTACGTTTGTGAGGACCCGGACTCCTACATGTGTAGGATGGCTATAGGAGTGACGTCCCGGCAGACTCCCAGACGTTCTACCCCCCAGCCGTTCTACCCCCGTCTGTAGATAATCAGATAGAAGGTGGATCTGCGACCTGGAGCTGCCTTGTCAAACCAACGCAGCCTAATCATTTTTTCAAATTAATGGATTGAAAATTGCAAGTTCTTGTAATCTAATCTTCAAAAAGCATTTTTACAAATTGAGAAGACCGACAAGTCATGATTCCAATGTTTCTTCAATGATTCTGAGTTCTCCATTAGTGAGATGCCAAACGGCTGTTTGAGGTATTTCTTGAAATATTAACTGTCTTATTTAACAAGACAGACTTTTGAGGCCTTATTACGAGAATTGCCTTAAAGTATGGAAGGGTCACCAGCAAAACCTGATCCTGGATTGATCACCTCAAAACATACTTCATCACTTCAAGTGTTGCATAAACATCACCAGGATGTGTGTGTGTGTGTGTGTGTGTGTGTAAGGTTTGTAAGAGAGTGTGGATGGGTTAGTGTGAGTGAGTGAATGTGTGTACGTTGATATGTGTGGGTAGAGTGAGTGGGCGTGTGGTTGAGTGGACTGAGTTGAGAGAGTGAAAATGAGTGAGTCGGTGTGTGTGTGTGTGGGGTAAGACAGAGAGTGAGTGAGGTGAGTGAGAGTGAGAGAGAAAAAGAGAGAGTGAGTGAGTGAGTGAGTGAGTGAGCGAGCGAGCGAGCAAGATACTGTTTCACATATCTGTAGCTGATATAGTTCTTTCTATATATTTCTTTTAAAATCCAAATATTTGACATATATTCCTTCTGAATAATTGGTTATAAGTTGTGCCAGTCAGCAGGAGCTATATCTGTACCTCCATGTCACTCTCTCATAGCCCCATGCCAACAAGCTCGGTAGGTTGATTGGCCAAGCTTACACCTATTGTTAACTGCCTGCTTTGTTCACCCTGAGAATCTATCAGCACATGACAGAACTGCTCAGGTCAGTGAAGGGATGAGCTGGGATAAAAATATAGTAAGTTAAATAGCCATTATCAAAAGCTTGTATCGAAAATATACAGTATGTTTGCATTGTCTCTTTGAGTAAACTAAATGTTTGCAATACAAGACCCAAAAAAATGTTATGATTGAAATAAAATATTCACTAAATGTTCTATCAGTTCTAGTGAAGGAGGGGCGGTGGGGTAGCCTAGTGGCTAAAGCGTTGGCTCATCACGCCGAAGACCCGGGTTCGAATCCCCACATGGGTACAATGTGTGAAGCCCATTTCTGGTGTCCCCCGCTGTGATATTGCTGGAATATTGCTAAAAGCGGCGTAAAACCAAACTCAGTCAGTCTAGTGAAGGAATGGATGTGAGTGTGCCAGTATTGCTTTTATTTCTAGAAAGTTTCAAAAGCTTTTGTACCTGGTACAACTGCATGAGATACGTTTGTCCGTGTTTCATGTGAAGCATGAATGCACATATTTACACAATCCAAATCAATATACCTTGTTACTTACTCTTCATCAAAGCCGACTGTAAGTACTGTTAATACGTTTACTTGTATTACTAATGGCCAGACAGTGGTATAATTCAGTTTGTATTTGTGTTTTGTACTATTGCTTTGTCCCACATTGTTGTGATATAGACCCAGCTTGAAGGTGGAATGTATGTACTTAGTTTATACTTGTGTCCGTACACTCATACTGTGCCATCATAATCAAACATTGTCAGGATTGCTTAACAAACACTATCCTCCCCAAATCTTCCACATTTCCATTAATCCAGTAACAGAATCACACTTCAACTGAGTGTTGACTTCGGTTTGGCAATCATCTCTTATCTTTCCCTTGCTTCAAATCCTTTAGATGGGAGTCAGATCATCACCATGTTTCAACCTTCCTGCTTACTTTCTTCACATCTACTGATTAGACAAAAAACTCACAAAAACAAAGAATAGAAACACTGTAAAAAAATATGGTTTTCAATATTTTTTTCCAAAACTCTGACATTTGTTCTTATTTTTTTCCCATATCCTGTTTTGTGTAACTGGGGCTGGCTCCTCCACGAACCTGACCAGGTGCATACAACCATCACAGCCTGTCTACAACATCAGCAACAGAAAATAGCATCCAGTAGTTCCAGGCTGTAGTTGAACAAGGCCACACACTTCAACAAACAGGCCAGCTGACATGTGGGGCATGGAGTCAGCCGCTTCCTCATCGGGTAACCGTGGTAATAAGGAATACTGTCAGTAATTGTAGGTTTCAGATCTCTTTGTAAGTGTTCTGTGAACAGTGAATTAAGCTGACCACCAGCAAGTTGTGTCAAGGATTTACTAAAGGTCACGTAGACCAGAGTCTGTGTATGACAGCAAGAGTTACATCCCCTGGACAACTGATAGTGAAAATGAAATGATTCTCTTTAAGCAGTTATCTTCAGACTTTGAAGTGAACGGATCACACACTAAAACATAGGGTGTCAGAGGATGTTCACCATTTTTTGTCTTCCTAAATTATTAATAAACCGACTTATTGTCATCATGCCATTTTCAATTCATCCACAGTCCACAAACTTTGTATGCTAACCCAAATGTTCTACCACCCCTAATGCTGGATAACCCAGGGGGTGGGGGTGGGTTTTGTTGTTGTTGTTTTTTCCCCAGCCAGGGTGACAGGTCACAATAGGTCACAAGCCTTCAACGGTCACTTCTGCTGGACATATGGGAGAGTTGGCCTGCAGGACTGGGGGAGCTTCAACATCACAGAGGGCGGTGGGGTAGCCTAGTGGTTAAAGCATTGGCTCGTCACGCCGAAGACCCGGTTCGATTCCCCACATGGGCACAATGTGTTAAGCCCATTTCTGGTGTCCCCCGCCGTGATATTGCTGGAATATTGCTAAAAGCGGCGTAAAACTAAACTCAGTCAGTCAGTCAGTCCACATCACAGACTCCTTCACAACTTAACACAAAGAGCTAAATTTTCTATGAAGATAACGCTGGTCAAAACCTTCATCACAACTTGTCCAGAAACATTTCAACAGACTATTCCCAATTCTATAACCAATCATGGCCCTATTCATTGGAGATAACGCCAACTAGTTACGTCATCACCATGGCAACTGTTTCTCTCAGGTAGTCTCCATTATGTGATGAGTTTGGACAGGGAAGTGGATCTCAGGAGAAATTGTAATTACATTCCAAGTGAAGAAATCAAAACACCTGAAAGTGTACTGGTGCTGAAGGAGTCATCAGCACAGGTAATCCAGATATGTACCCCAGGTACGTTTCTGTATACAGCATTGTGCTGTTTTCTTGATCGGACCTGACATTCTGTTGTATGAGATACAAGAAAACAAGCATACACAGTAGCGAATATTTCACGATGCACAATACAGGGATCAGGTAAACGGAAGCAACTACTTACGGTTTCGGTTTTTGATTGAAGAATATGAACTCATCCACAATTTAGGGTACTCATTCTGTATTTTCCCTTTAGTTAGGATTTATTTCTGTATATAGAAATGTAGCTGGGGTATATATCTGTAATGCCTGTACCGACGACGACCCCTTCAGCCATACCGGTTGGGAGACAAGGCAGTGCCACGGCGACAACCCCTTCAGCCATACCGGTTGGGAGACAAGGCAGTGCCACAGGGCAAACACAACTCTGCGTACAATCTCATGCCCATGCTTCCTCACATCCACAAATACTGGTTCTGTAGAAAGTCGTCCTCTACTGTTCATCCATGTGCTGAGCTGATCATGGCCATGGTTCTGACTGTGTGATTACAGCGCTTATCATCCTCTCACAGGGTATTGTCTGTGTGATTATTATTATTATTATAGCTTAATTAGTAATTATGAACTATACTCACCTTTGTCCCTCCAAAGTAATAATCCACGTATGAAAACAACTGCTGGACCAGGTTGTCTGTGAGCTGTCTCTCACCTGATTGACACAGCTACATCACAACAGCACTTACTTGGACGGTAACAGTCTGATGAGGTCCTGTTGCCAGGTTACTGCCCTGAACTGATACTAAAAGCCTTACATCAATATAGAGACTCTGTGATGATGTTGATATTCCCCACATCCCCTTGCACACAGTGGCTGGCAGGACATGCTGGCCATTACCGTATCACATGGCCATTACCGTCAGTAGGTGGTGCGTGAGTGAGTGTTTAGTAGACATCTATATATTCCAGCTACAACATAATCACTTGCAAAATATTCAGACTTAGATAAGTAAACCAGTGTTTGATAGTGTGAGCACATGCACTTCACAGGTCGGGTGAGTGAGTGAGTGCTTTGCTTTCAGATAAAATCATGAAGGATGACAGACGACACTGGAACCACAGGGCTCCCCTGCAAACCCTAGGAATAACCCCATTCTTATTCTGATTACTTGAATGTCTTTGCTGGTATGTAGTGTGAGAAACCCACAGTGACTTTTATGCTGTAATTTGCATGCATTTAAATGCGCACAAAAGCTTGCCTAGGTCTGCGCTAACAGTTCAGTCAGGCAATGGAAGCGACTCGTTTCCCTGTAGGAGTCTAAGACAACATCAGCCAGCCAATCCATGGAAGGATCAGGGTGCATGACCTTTGGGAGGTAACTACAAATCAAACAATGTTTTCTGGTAAAACAATGTCAGTAAACATCACAGGTGTGTAACTGAAAAATAATGTTCAACTTGACTTTAAATGTCATATGTGTTTTGGGATTTAGCAATTAGACCAGAGAGCCAAACGTTAACCTTAAACACCCTGCCCCCTCCCATCTCGTCCATGTGAGGTAGGTACTTCTAGCGTGTACTTGGGTTATTGGGTCCTAGTCAAAAGGGCCGCCGCATGTCAAAAGGGCCCCAAAATTGTAAAAGTCAAAGTGGCCACAAACCCCTAGTCAAAAGGGCCCCATAT